GTTTTCCTATACATCTCTGACTTGTATCATGGTTGTATGTGAGCGCAGTCATGAAACTGTATACAATTATTCAAAAATTTAAACAAAAACATGAAGAAATTGAAACGAGATTTTTTTATGCATTACTACGAAATGACCTTTATTGTTAAAATGCATCAAGGTGACTGAAGGTGCAGATAATTTATTCATGTAAAAAAGGTTAGACAGGTCAGTTGAGAGTTGTACACAGGCCATGCAAAGTAATCTTTTTTAAAATAAGGGTAAATAACAACAAGTTTGCAGTAAAAAATAAAAATTCAGGACGAAATAGCTGTTCCCGCGTTCCGCTCAAGTAAACACTAAAAATGAAACCTGGTCAAGGGTTGCTAAAAAGTTAGAAAATTTTATAACAATCACTGCTATCATATTCTCCACCCACGTCTTCAGTGAGTACCTGTAACTGGGATCGCCGGAATGCAGGAAAGGTCTAAACCAGTCTTGTGTAAAAACTTTCTTTTGTTCCAAAAAATAATAAATTTGCATAGCTGCCGACCACGTGAGTGAAAACGCTGTATTTGAAACGGGGGACACTATACGCATGAAGTACAACGACTGATTTACGAGAAATTTACTAGTTATAGCTATCGCAAAGTGCTAACGCGCAAAAATTTTACTAGCCTGCGTAGCTGGCGGTATTGTGTGGGTGCGAGATTAAAGTTTTGGCGGCGGAGCCGTGTTCCAAAAAAAGGGAGCGGGGACGAGGCGGTTGAAATACCTGTATGCGTGCGCTGTTCAATTTGTTTGGAAATGTCATGACGTAATTTACGACAAATAGTTTTAATTCAATTCGATTGCATATATAACTTCGAGAGGCTACTTGTTGGCAATAACTGGATTAAAGATGAGCGCATAATTTGTATAGGTAAAAGCACATGATTTGGAGTGATATTTGGCATAACTACCACGGGTGATACTTCTAAGTTGTTATACGTAATTTCACGAGTCGTCAGGCGAGTGAAATTTGATACAATTTTGAAATATCATGAGGGGTATTTATGTCAAATGTCATGTACGAATGGTATTATTCGTTTATACCCGCAAAAGGTTGGTAATTTTCACATGTAGGTATTTCAAGTTAAGCTGAAATCCCACTGCTCTAACCCAATCAAATTGCAGAAATTTCTCATTTAGTAGTATAAAAAGTGTTCACGTGGACGTGTACAGGCACGCAGACTGCGAACAAAAAGGTTTTCAGTGATTTTTAATAATATGGACATAAAAATAAGAAATTCTATAGAAATTTCAACCAAATTTAATACCAAAACTCTTTTTCGCCTCATAAATCCTTGAAAACATTGCAGCTTGCAAACAAAATTATAGAGTATAATGTAATTACCCATAATTACATATCTCGCTTGGAACTCTTGCTTTAGTAGGGACGGCTTCGGGAGTCTCAAAATTTGACTTTTTCGACAATTTTGTGGCCAAGAATTCAGGGCAGATACAAAACTTCACGAGATGGCACTGCAGAGGGGTAAACTTGGTAGACTGGAGTGTGTTATGTATTGAACGGAATTCTAAAAGAGCGCTTTTATACCAAGATATAAGGTTTTAATTTCAAGGATGACAGATTTGGCTCATTTAAAGCATGATATCTTGCTGGCTAGAAAATCCACAAACTCTGTTAATGCATGACACGCTAGAGGTTTTGACCGATCATTTACAAATAAAAACACAGAGTGCTGTCTTCTACTCTTCATCGCGCAAACTTGGACGCAAAGTCACGATTTCCTAATTTGGTACAACTGTGGCTTAAAGCATCGCTGCTAAGAGCGATCTACCAAATAAAAACTTCATCATTTCACAACGACTCTGTAAAATTTTATTTTAATCACCTTTAAAACAGCCGAGCTATAAGCGTTTTAAAAGATGTACACATAAGCAAAATTTTGCCTTAGGAACGTATTCATAGATAGGTGACCCCCGCGGCGTCAAGTGTCCGGAGAAGCGGGGAGTCTTGTAATAGCGTATTCTGCAAATTCTAAGGTCTTGTCGAAGGTTCCTCTGCTTCAGGTGTGGTAGTAAAGGGGAGCCATAAACAATATTATGAAATAAAAAACGGCGCCATTTATTCAAGAGCAGGAAATTCTCTTGGTCTGCTAAGGAAAAATATATAGTGAGATTTCTAATGCGTTTAGTGTTAAAAGATCGCGCTCTATAGCGTTATAACGAGAATTGATACATGATAATAAGGATGTCGGAACCGACAAATCGTCTGATTTGCAATAGTGATAGTTTTTAGTCAATTTTGAAGAATTTGCCGAAGATTTGACTTTTGTCTGTATTGGTAAGGTGGTTAAAGAAGTTGGTAGACTGCAAAACAGTCGGTTTTTTCCTCAAAATCGGTAAAGAAATCAGTAAAGCGTGGCGTAAGAGCCAGTCTTGCCAGTCTCGCTCTCCGTTTTTCAGCCTCGTTCCACATCTTTTGTTTGACTGCTCGCGCGTACTTGAACACGCAAAAATACGGACAGTTTTGCAGTCTAATAAGTTGGGTGCCCGCAAAGCTAGAGCTGCATGACTGTAAAATGAACAACAAAATTAATCACTTCGACGGTTCCACTTTGTCTTTTTAAAGTTTTCAGTGTCAATAATTTTCCGAAAACCTAAAGCGGAGTGTATGGTTGAAGTATACGGCTGTTATGCAACGTCTAATTCTCGAAATCGCAAAGTACCAATTATTACCCGATTTTAGTCCACAGAACCACATTAAGCCAAGTCAATGTCACGCGGCTTACATGATTTTCAATGTCTATTTTTTCCGTCATTCTGTGAAGCTTCTCCAGATATCTAAAGTCGCAATAACGTTTACCTCAAAGCCTGTCTCAGTTGTAGCTCCGACATTGATATGATAATTATTATGCTTACATACATTTTTGTTCTTGCAATTTTTTTCCATTCGCACACAGCAGAGAGAGTTAGGCTTTTCTTAGCCTGCGATCATGCCCTCTCCTTTATCTCTGTAATCTGTTTTCGGAAAGAGGGCATGATACATTTCTTTCACAGATCACATGCAAAAAAGCCAGAATCTGGACTTTTTTCTGATTGGATAGGAAACGATACGGATGATTTGCGCTATTCCGATTGGCCAAAACGCCGCCATCCGTTAGTTGTTGTTGATTTCAGCCTGCATTTTTGCTTGCGTATAAATGAGCAGTGAATACATACGCGAGTTCGTTATGAACTTTCTGCCGGCTCAGTTTTCATGAATTTGAAGAATGTCTAAATAGAAATTACATCCATTGAAATATTTTCCATTTCATCGTTTACTAAAAATTGCAGTCAAAAATTCACCGATCATTTGAATGCAATTTGATACCGGCTACAAGTTACAGAAGCGACAAAACGGGCTCACTTTTCAAATAATCAATTCATGAACGGAATCTTGACCTGGATTGACTGTAATTCCTTCAGTCAGAACCTGCGAATTATTCTGACCGATCTTCGCTTTCATAACACTTTTCAGTTCGTGAAATATAGCGCTTCAGCTTATTTTTTTTTACTGCTTTCGGCACAGAACGAATTAGGTCAACGAGCTTTTACCAGTAAATTCTTTATTATTTGTAGCTGTTAAATAAAGGTAGGGTACGGTAGTATTTGATCACAAAAGAAGCATTTAAATTTTTTTTAGGAAGCGCCATCTGAACGAACTTAAAAATTTTCTTTTCCCTAAAATTTATTTCGAAAGAGACATTTTTCCCGCCAAAGTTTGATTCCTGTCTGGTAAACTCTGATTGGCTAATAACATGACAGGTCAAGCAGACGTTAGATTGTGTAAATTAGGGGGCGGTTGATGGCTTGTTAAATGAATGTATCAGGCGTTACTTTTTTCCCTCTCGAGCTAAAGAAGCAAAGAAGCAAAAAAATAAAATAAAATAAAATAAAATAACGCCTGATCTCAGGTTAGGCTTTTATCTACTCATTTTGTTTAATCCCTACGTATATAAATGTTCTGCGTAAGATCACTGTCTATCATTATGAAAATAGGTCACAAAATGTGGTCAATTGCAATAGTTTAGTTTTAAAGGTATTTTTGTAACAGCTAAATAACTGACGAAGGGGTGGTTATAGCTCAAACCTCAGTTTAAATAAAGCAACTAATTGTATAATAAGGAAATTATATTCATTATCAATTTCCAACTTCGGAACACTGACATTGAAGAGCGTATCACAGTCGTAAAACACAACTCTTGTTGCAACATCAAGTCTCAGACTAACTTAAACACGTTTTTATGTACGTATCGTCGGTAAGAAGAGTGCGAAGCAAAAAAAAAACAAAAAAATATCGTGAATGACGCCAAGGGATTCGGAAGTTTTCAACATGCACACTGTAAGACTAGGCTAAGGCTAGGTTCCTATCGACCGCCATAGTTACACCTGTAACACATTCTTACTGCGCACACCGTTCATAAAGATTTTTTTTTTTTTGCGTCCGATTTCAGTATTTTTGTCTTACAGTTTTAGACATTGCAGGGGTTGAAATTCAATTAGGGCTCCTAGTCTGTATTCATCTCCGGCTTTCAGCGTGCTGTAGTAGGGTATCGGTCTTTTACAGCCCGTTTTGCGAACCTGCTGTACACTGGACAGCGGTCAGTGGTTTGAGATGAGCCTTTGAGATGAGCCTGCAGTCAGCGGTTGGGTCGCGTGGAGTCTGGGTCCGAGTAAGAAGGGCGCGTGGTGCGTGGGATCGCGCGAGGACCAACATGCAGGATTATGCTTGCTGCATTATTATCGATAAAGACAGATACCCTACTTGCTGTTGTTTGTGTGTATGTAATTTCCTTCTTGAAAACTACTGATAAAAAAAACTAAGCTGAGCTTAATTTGATATTTTTGACTCATTATCTGCAGGAAGCTTTACTCACAGAACATCCCTTTAATATGATCTTTATTGTAGTATTTATTGTAGATTTAGAAAGTAACTGAAATTTTCCCTTTTAATTAGAAAATTGAGCTGTGTCAACATGGCCGACAAAAAGAATTTTAAGCGAGTTATTAGACGCATGAATAAGGACGTCGATGAAGAGCTGGACAAGCGAAGGGTCCTCAGCAAAATGAAGCTGTTTGTGTTGGACAATTCTCTTCGCGAAAGTACGGTGGGTCAGCTTCGAGGTCACACGATCGAAAACAAGTGGAAAATCTATGAGCAGGTATTTTCTTAAGAACATTTAGGTTAGCAAATAATAATGTCTAAAAGTTCCCTTTAGTTTTTTTAATTGTCTTGACGTGACTGGTCATTAATTGTCAACACTGCAGTAATAAAGTTCCAATATTAGAAGCCCTTTATAGAGTTCTCTCCTTTCAGCGTAGCTCTGGCCTTTTTTGTGGAAGGCTAATTTTGCTAGCCGAAATATTGGTCTCAAATAAATCAGCCCTTCGCCGTATTGCCAGCCTTTCATCCAGGTTTGTTTTCATTCCAATGGCGTTGCCCAGGAAACTTTAAACCTTAATATAGAATTGAATGCAAGTTGTCCTTTAAACTATTATTGATAGATTGGTTTATTTCTTTTTAATTACTTCCAGATAAAAAAGGTTGGCTACAAGCACATCATCGTAGCCTCTTTCTCTCACATGACTCGCTTGGGTGACACCTTCATTCGCCAGTTGCACGAAAAAGGGGAGGACTTCACCAACCTTTGGGCGTTCAGCGAGTTCCTGGAATCTGTCGGCAAAGACAAAGTGCCAGATACCGAGACTATTCCAATTGGCATGCTCAAGTGTAAGGAACTGGGCATAAAGAACGTCATCATAGAAGCAGACTTGGTTTGGGCAGGCATCGACTACAAGAAGTTTAAAGTTGAGGCAATCAATCAGCTATTCTCTGAGAGGATGAGATGGTGTCGTGAAAACCTTTCAAAAGATTGCAGAATACTCTTCAACTTACGAGATCTTCCAGACGGTATGAAGAAGAGGCCAAAACGAATTTTTAAGGTAGTAAGGTACCTTTCCTCCCTTCCCCCAGACGAGCGTCCCTTCGGTCTGGTGACCGAAGAATCGGGGAAGTATCTTCCAGAAGAGGTTGGTGGATGGATAAAGGCCGTACGCAGAGAAATGGACGATTGCGGCTTTGATGATGGACACTTGCTTGTTCACGTGCACGAGCAGTGGGGAATGGCAGACATCACCCAGTTAGAATGCCTTGTCAATGGTGCAAATGGTGTTTGGGCGAGTCTCATCATAGAGGGAGCCTCCATGGGTCATGCAAGCTCAACTGTCACCCTGATGAATATGATTCGCATGGGAAACAAGAAGGTCCTAGAGCAGTACAACTGTACGGCTCTACGCAAAGCTGCACAAGAGGTAACCAGGATCACCACTGGACGAGAAGCGTATGACAGGCAGGTTGTCTATGGAGAACGAGCCTTGGATATGGTGTTTGGAATGCCAAACTTTACCCCAAGTAAGAAAGAATTTAGCATAGCTGATTTCTTCGGTGAAGAAACGGTCATGCGAATGACAACTCTGGCCTCCCCTGGAATGATTGTAACAAGGCTGACGAAACTCTTTGGAGATGATCCCCAGTTCACAACCGAGAGAGCCCAAAGAATGCTAGAAGTTATGTTGGAGGATCTGCACAAGAACAGGAAAGAGGAGTACATGAGCGCAGTTGGCCTCGCATTGTTGTTTGATCGGGCTGGTGGCAGTCTCACCGAGCAAATGAGCGACGCCATCGCCAAAGAAGAGCCAAAGAAGGTTCACGCGCAACATCTAATTGCCGAGGTTCGTGCCATGTGGGATGAGTGGGACCTGCGAGATGGTGAGAGAGATGACAAGTTGGAGTTTGATGCCTTCTACAATGGATTCTTGGCACCGTACTTTGGTTGCTACAGATGCGATGAGACGAAGGGCGCTTTGAAGGCCATCGACATGGATGAAGATGGGACTGTTGATTGGAACGAGTTCGCCTTGTACCTGAAGTGGGCCATTCGCGAATACCCCGAGACCAAAACGGCTGATGATCTGCTGTCCATTGCCTTCCGCAAAGGTTTGATCCCAGCCATGCAAGATGAACTATTGAAGCAGGTTTGATGAACTCAAGCAATGAATGCAAGGTTTTTTTGTGGATCGGTTTAGAAAAACTGATATGAACTTACTTGCTTCCAAGTTCGCGTTCTATAAATGAAGTGGACTAAGTCCACTTTTCACACAGTCTGAAGGCATTGAGAAAAATTTTTGGCTCTTACTTAATGCTATTTTCTTCCTTAAATTTACGGTTTTTGTTTGCATGAAATTTTGGAAATGTTTTAATTTCTTCTCTCTTCGTTTGGTTGTGTGAGCATTAAAACGTTTTTGAGAAAGCAGTCACAATGTCTAGTGTATGAACTATGTGGTTGATCAATCGGTTACGCATCCTTACTGCGCACCCTATTCATATAGCAATGTTCCATCAAATCATGTATCACTGATGTATCAACAGCGCGTGTGTAAAACGGAAAAAGAGGTTTAAAAAGGGCTGGTGCCGCCATTACATTTGCTTTGCTACACATCATACTGTCTTAGACTGAGGGTGCCCCCTTTTGTCCTTTTGTAGATCATTCTAAGCCATCTACGTTTTAACTGAAAAAACATTCACTTGAGAATTAATTATTTTCCATTTCAATTTCATGTGCGTTGGAATATTTCACTATACAGATTCAGGAGCCTATTAACAGGCTCCTGACAGATTTGCTCTTTAAAGAAAAGAATATTGTCCTACCCTTGTTTGCTGTGAAATTTTAACCCAAATTACTGCGAGCAAGACAGCCTTCCCCGCGGACGTTTTTTTGGTTCGTCACGCAATCCTCTTTAAAGAACATGCGGCAGGAACGCGTGACGAATCCCCTAAGAACGTCTGCGTGGGAGGCTAAGCCAAACAACTACTTTCTTAGGCAATCGCCACCTTTAATTCACTTAACAATTGTCGTACTAAATGAATTGTCTGTTTGATGATATAGAGCAATTCATTGATAAGAGGGTGGCCTTGTTTTTTCTCTTTTTATATGGAAATACCGTGCACTGACGTTTCAAGGCTCTTTTCGCACCAGGTTTAAGACGTTTTAAGGTTTTAAAGGTTTTAAGACGTTTTTTTTTGCTATCTCAAACTGTTTCAAGGTATATTTTATGAGATAATTATTTGACCGGCGGCTAGTCACCGTAACCTTCTAAATTTGTTTTCTTTGGGGAAAAACGATTATTTCTGTAACCTACAGATGTTAGCCTGTGCGGCAGACCGTATAAATCTTCTCTACTTTGTGGTGCCCGAGCCGATTTATGACGATTTTATGCTTGACCGTTTCACCATTTTATACCTGACGAGTTTGATGGATATAAATTTGCTGGGGCACCGGACAGTAAAGAAGACACGCACAACTTAAGAGTTTTGCTCCAATCAAATGGAAAGTGAAACATGTTCGATTTTAACAGCCGAGAGGGCACGGGCACGATCAGGTCGAGATTCGCAAGATAATTGTGCTTACTAATGAGGATATTTTCAGTTGTAATTTAAGCAGCAATAGAAAACGTTTTCCGTGTTTGCATAGCCTGATATAAACACGAGAGCGGTTGGGAGAATTCGAGACAGTAATGCAAACCCGAGACGAAGGTTTGAATAACTGTCGAGAATTCTCCGAACCCCTCGAGTGTTTATATCAGGATATGCAAACACAGGAAAAACGTTTTCTATTGCTTTTATAAGATAACTTTCCCGTGAAAAAAAGCAAAATTCTCTTGTTTAGAGCATTGATTAAAAGCGAAATTCTTAGCAGTCGCGAAGTCTTGCACGCGAAGCTTGTACGCGTAATCAGTCTTTGTTTTGCAAAAAAGAAGCTTTCCAATATACGCGTTTTTCTCGCTTAAAATGTCAGCTCAAGCGAAAAAAAATTGACACAGCATGTTTCTAAAGATCTTTCAAGTTTCAACCGACGAGGAAATGGGTAAATAAAGTAAACTTGTCGAGTTCTTCAACTCAAAACCTTTTTCAAATTCGTGCTTGCGTGATTAGTGCGCGAAAAGCAAAACATTTTGACGTTACAACCATGTTTACATACTCTAATGCAGACACGCCTCTCGGCCATTCAGAGTGCGCGTACTATCTTAGTTATTTTATAATGCGTGCTAATACGACTTGTTGGTCATCTCGAACCTTATAGCTTTATGAAATGAGTCCTTCTTATGGTATTTGTGTCGAAAATAAGGGAAAAACCTGCTAAATTGTCGCGCATTTTGCGTGAGTCTCACGCCTGTGTATTAAAGACATCGATCTCTCGCATCAAGGCAGACGAATTGTTCTCTAACACATGAATTATAATGAAAATTCAATTAAAAAGGCGTTCAATCTAGACAGAAGTGACGGAAGCGACGGAACATCTTGGAAGTTTTCGGCAACGTTCGGAAGTCTTCGGAAAGTGATCGGAAAGGGCTTAGCCGGTCACACAAACAGCGAGTCTGCCTGTGCTTCAAAAACGATTGGTAGAAATATCTGAAGACATGACGCCCGGGGGGTTTCACCCTGATGTTATTGTTAACGTTTAGCCTAAACGGGCACGTGCTGGTGAACAGGGTATCGTATTTATTCGATTAAACGCCGCGGCGTTTATTAATTTATAAGCCTTTAAATCCCATTCAGACCGGGCTTTAATTATTTTGCTTCCTGCAACCCGGGGGAAACGTCGGTCTATAACTTCAAAACCGCTCATCCTACGGCCACCAAAATTGCACATATGCAAAAGAAATTAATCAGGGTAATAAAATAAGTTTTATTGTCTTAAACAGTCGATAAACAGGGTAGCAAAATGCCTTTTGGCGTAAACAGGCCAGGTATAAAGGCCACGGCAGCACACCTCTACCCACACATCCTTTGTTGCCCCTCCCCCCCCCCCAGGGGCCATGATTTGACATTTATATTTACCCAACAGGAGGGCATTTTGCATGCGCATGCGTGAATCCGCTGAACGACAATAGCGTGGGAGCATCAAATCTGATGGCGGGAAATCGAAAACTCGCGCGTAAAATTACAATCCTTTTAAAAGCCATTTCGTTGGTGCTTTGAATACCGTACTTTCCTACAAAAAATATTCGCCATGACAAAAATCGGACGTTTTCTACGCTGGTTTTCACTCGTAGATTTTTCAGCAGTAGGTTTTCTTGGCCTTTTAAAGACTTTCAAGACTCAACGCCAAAAAGTCATGTTCCTGTGTAAGTCTGATTTTCACTGGCAAAGCAATGCATTCCTATGGTTTGATTTCCAAACTCGTGGTTTTACTTATCAGGGAAAATGCATCGTTGCAATGTTCAGCTGCTTTAAGACAAAAAAGCGAAACAAAAATTACCACGCGAGGTTTATTTATTAGCGCGATGTCTCATGTTAAACTGATCGGGGAGACACGCGTTTATATTTGCCACAAAAACATGAAATCTATGGGGTTTTTACAGTTTTTCGAAAGTTTTCGCGGAAAAATTTATAAAAAATATTCTACAGGAAATGAAGAATGGATTGAGTTTGAGACAGCAACAATTACAAGTGATTAATTAGTACTTAATCATTTGAGCATTTCATAAACTCAGTTGCAGACAAAACGAATGCACATACTCCGAAAAAACGAACGGTACTTTTATTTTTCTTTCACTCTAAAAGATACAGAGATTTTCCTAAGCTACTATTTTGAAGCGACTCTTGAGTAACAGCTCCTGCGTTCCACAATCGATTTCTTGTTATTAATTTAAATTTGATGACAGTAGTGATCCATTCAAAACAAAGAATGGCCATCACTCCATAAATCTGACGATGTTGCTCACCTTCAAAGCCTGTTTAAACATAAGACAGGAAGTTTGTTAAAGGGGTGCAAATAATGCTGTTTTCTCAGAAAATAAATACTTCTGCTAAAGGACCCAAATGAGCTGGGATGCGACAACAAACATGACACAAATGGATAGATAAATTTGTCTGTTATTAATGTTTCTGTTGAGAGCTTTTTACTGTATCCAGATGAACCCCTTATGTAAGTTGTACATCATGGAAGAATTATCAAGCAGAAACTGATGCATTAAACAAGAATGTGGTTCAATACAGAGGAGAAGCTGGTCTCAGTCAACATCCTTCGTGAATGAAATGTCTCACAAATTAGCATATCAACAAATTTAGTATCCACAAAATGGTATCATTTAGAAAAAATGCGATTTTTTTGCAGCAGAAGCCAGGATTTATTTAAAAGGTGTATTGATAACGTTTCATTTCGTGCTATTTTGGGGTTGGGGAGTTAGGCTAGTTTTTCTTTAAAACGCCAAAATGTTATATTTATTTGCATAATGAAATGTAAACAAACAGTGTATCATCAAAATATGGTGGAAAAAATCAGAATTCAAACCGATTGCTGTAATTTTTTTCCTTTGTATACCTAAATGATAGAATATTCGTATTTTCAAAACACAATCTTACTGGCATCATTATATTGATTTAAATTTATAGTTGAAGTGCGTGTATTTTATTTCTCAACGAAGACGTATCGGAGAAGAAAGCTAAAATTACTGCAGAAGGCGATTTTTCACAGCCTTCATCAAAGCGCCATTCATTCGCGGAAGTATTCTTAGTTTCATTAATCATTAACTTAACCTGGGGAGAAAGGCAAGATTTCGAGATGAACAAGCCGGAGAAAGGGGGAAAAACAGTTTCACGGCAGAATGGATACTTAATTAACCACTGTATTCCTGAAACGATTAAGTTCGATTTTGGAGTTATACTATTGAGAAGAATTAAGTTTCTATAGGATAATTGTTTAACGAAAAACTATCATACTGACCTTTTCCTCCTGCTCAAAAAATGTTCGCGAAATGTTAGGTGATAAGAACATTCAGCCGCCATCTTGTCTTCGATGTACTGTTTTACGAAAGGAAAGACTGTCCTTTCAAGGGCGACAGCGAAGGTACAACAAACTCACTTTCATCGTAGAAATACCTCGATACCTTAAAGAACATGTTTGTGGAACGTAGCACCCAATACACGTCAATCAGCGCCAGAAAACAGCCTGCAAATGCTGGTACTGAATGTAAACAATTCATAGAAAATGCCTCTGTGGTCGCTCTGTGGCACTTCAACAGCCCATATTGACGCATGCGCATACAAAATGCCCTCCTGTTTATTTACCCTTAATCGCACACCAACACACAACAACGCACACTGTCGCTGTCTTTAGTATTCAATTAGCATGGAACTCCCAGTCGCACGTATTTCCTGATTACAGTCAAACCCCATCAAGACGGACACGGAAGGGGCCATACAAACTGTCCGTATTAAGAGGGTCTTCGTGGACTGGTCATGTCATTTAAGTCATAAACACCTTTTATTACAACAAAACACTTATCGACACTTAGAAAATAAAGGAGCGTCGTCAAATTTTAAAACATCTCTAACCTGTCTCTCTCCTTAACAAAGCCATCACTAGTTTCCCGGGGGAGGGGGGAGGGTACTCCCTTATATAAGCCATACAGGTATGTGCCGCCCCATCGGGTAGGATTTTTACGCCGTTTTGGTCTGAAAAAGGGGTTAACATGTTGTTGCCCCCTTTGGTCGGGAATCGGGTATGCTTTTCGAGGGAACTACGGATTGTATGAACGTATTTATCGTTTTGATTCCAAATGAGTACGAAAGAAAGAGAAATATTCGAATTCGAAATGGATTTGAATAATTTTTTTGGTTGTGCTCTAATCTAGTAAGTAATCATAACATGATTTTTGCCTTAAGGCCAGGTCTAAAGACGGGTGTGGAAAATTATATGTTTTGGTCTGAAATCGGGTCAGGATTTGGAGAACCGGGAGGCACGCCCCAACCAAGAATTCCCAGGAGTACCCCCCGGGCTAGTTTTGCAGACTAATCCACGGAAACTCTCAAGAATCGCTCATCTATATATTGCTTTCGGGAATTGCTTAATCAAAGCCGTTCTCTACATAACTCGTTTGATGCCGAAAGTCTGAAATTGGCGTAGCGTATACAAATCGCCGAGAAATTGTCCTATCCTGAAGGTTTTTTCACCTACACAGGAAAGGTCTATCACAGCAAACAGTTGATAATGAAGTGTGCCAGGAGCCCATAACTCGGAGCATCTAACTTCCATACTGCGCCTATGCAACGGCGTTTTCACGAGTAGGTTTATTTTTAGATAAGCCTTTCCCGCGAATTGCTTTCGAAAAGCCAATCACAAGCAAGTGCGTCATCAATAATAAACTTTTAATACGTAACCAGGGCAACTCCTTCACATTGAAAAAAAAGCATGGCAGACGCACGTGAGGAATCTTCAGAGGATTCTTCTGATAGTACTTCAAGCGACAATTTCAGTATTTACACGGAAACTAGCAGTTCAGAGGAAAATCTGCAAAACGCAGAAGAGCCCGGGACGTCTACTTCATCGGCGACAACGCACAATTCATGCAAAGGGAAATCGACATCATCTTCGAAACAGTCGGCTGTGAAAAGGTCCAAGCGACATCAGTCATTTTTCGCGGGAAAAGCTTATCTAAAAATAGACTCACTTGTACAAACGCCGTTGCACAAATTTATGGCAGCTGCACGCTCCGGGTTATGGGCTCCTGAGTGTGCGCATTAGCGAGGTTGAATTTCTATGAGAATCTGTTGATTGGGCAACAAACAAGTGCCCGTTGTCCGCATTGACGCGTGTCCGTATTAAGTGGGTTGTATTTCGAGAAAATGTAGGGGCGTCAGTCCCAGGGACAAAGAAAACTGTCCATAATGACGAAATGTCCGTATCAAGTGGGTGTCCGTAAACCGGGGTTCGACTGTAGTTCATTAGTATCGAGCAGAGCTCAGGTTAATATCAGGAAAACTCAGCTGCTCTAATAATCACTTTATTTTTGAGAATTTGGGCAAGGATGAGGGAGAACTCAGAGAACTGATTAATGAATTGTATGTCCAATCCTCCTTGACTAGCACGTATACGCTTCAGGCTGGTGAAAAACTAAAATTACTGATCAATTTGGATGTTTCTTCTCGGTCAGTCCGGGAGATACCCATTTCTGGATATATGATGACGTCACTGATAATTGCATCTTGGACCTTCAATCCTTCAACGATTAAACGATAAATCGGCATTAACGCTTTTGCGCCGCTTTTATTCTGGTTCCTTTTATTTATGGCATGAGACCAAGCGTTATTTGTAAAGGAACATCAGAGGAACATGTGAAACAAAAGAAAGATGGCGTGCCTCTCTGCAACGCAGAGAAAGAGCTGCGGAAGCTGAATTCAACGGTTGTGTTTTTGATGCAGTCTGAGTGGAGTCGTCTTTGAATTCTTGCAAATTTCAGGAATGTAATAATTTTTTTCTGGTTGCGAAAAAATCACTCCGAGATACTAGAGTAAATTTGCATGCATGTTGTTTATTCAAACAAAATCCATATACACGAAACTTTAGTTGATATGCACGGCCCTTGAAAATCTGTGAAGTGTGTAATTTCGGCGCCATTACTGTTTCACTGACGTGTGAGCGCTTCGTGCCGGATCGTATTCTAAACTGATCGATCTTTGGTTTCGTTTAATTTGGAATTGTTGGTGTTACAAGGCGGTGCAAATTTTTATTAGTTTTTAAATCCAAAATCCCTAGATTACACTGTGGAGCTTTGCTAACGTGTTTGTACATGTTGCTTTGAATTTTGTGACGTTACTGGATTTTAGTGGACAACCCTTTTCATTTTGAAAACAGTAATGCGTAGCTACTCGGCGACAACACTTTTTTTGAATATTCATCCCACATAATTACTAAAAATATATAAAAAATTTCGAGTTCCGCAGAATAAGATAATAACCCAATAATGGAACTAGAACTTTTATGGGAGCGGCTGTTGCGATTCCCGTAAGGCATGGAGATCCACACAGACCTCCTCGGCCTGTTTCAGACTCCAGACATGACACTGACACGACAGAACCAAATGCTCCGAGATTGATTAATTTTTCAAGGTAAAACAAACAAACAAACAAACAAAAACGGACGGCTTCTTTCCTTTCCATTCACCATTGACCAGGACACGTAAAAAACGAATACTGTAATATTCAGTGAATTTGGCGGCAAATAGTGTTTTGATACCAAAATATATATAACAAGTCGCATAAGGAAACTTTCAAGTGTCTTCGATAAATCAGGCTTGGGCTCGAAATATAGGGAGGGGACAGCGTTTCAGCACCCAGAGTGGACAATATACCAGTTTCTTGTTCTTTCTTTCTTTCTTTCATTATTTTTGTTTTTATGTTAATTATGTTATGTTATGTTATGTTATGTTATGTTATGTTACGTTATGTTATGTTATGTTATTTATTTTGTTATTATAAATGTATACAAAAAATATTTTAATATTATTGTTATTTTATTTATTTCAGTTATTTTTTCATAAAAATTACTTTAATTTTTTCATGTTCCAGGATGTTCCGGAATGTTCCGTGATGTTCTGTGTTCTGCGTTTTATCGACGGCCGAATCTCGTTTCGTCTGGCTGATCGTGCATGAACAAAAGAATGCGGCTTGTTTTAATATTTAAATCGATTCGGGAATCTGAAAAATGCAAATTAGTTTCATTTCAGTCACAAAAAGCATCCGGCTGGATCAGGTATTGACCGTTGAAACAACGGAAGTCCAACCGCCTCAAAACAGGGGACAGCAATTTCAGGTAAGGAATTCCAGCTTTTCTCTTTCGTGTACACCGCTTGGAATTCCTAAGTTGTCGCGTAACAGCAGTTTGTTACCTTTTCGCGTTTTCTCGACCGCGTTTCTGTAGGTCATCTATTCTTGCAGTCTGAAAACAACGCCACGAGCTTGACACAAAGAAATAATCTAGGTTTCCGAATCATACGTAAGTGTCACAAGTCAGGCGATGATCAATACACGGAGCTATGAAGAGACTCATTAAGACTCTTAATCACCAATGATTAAGATAATAACGAATGAAAAAGCCACCAGAGCGATTTAATAAGCCCTCGTCCATAGAGGACGTGATGGATTGTGAGGTGGTTCTAAATGTCTCCGAATCATACGGTGTGACCATTCAAATAGAACCTCTTTCCCTGTACTTTCACGTGGAGCTATCTATTTTCAGCATTTTACGAATGAAATCTGGAAATTTTGTCCCGTTTTGGGAGTGAAGGGCAAAGCTAATTTCTTGTCTCCGCACTTCATCTACCAGATGAACCATGAGAAACCGCTACTGCCGCCTCTTGTGCTTATGACAATGATAATTCGGATTAAGGATTTGAATGAAAGCTGAACACGCTATGATATTTATATCTGCAACGAACAGGGCGGTAAATTGTGAACACAAAAACTCTTTACTTGCAAGGTAATAACTGTTTCGTGTGGCACAAAAAATCACGCGGTCCAAGAGGTCACAAACATAATTAAAAACTCCAAGTGACGATTAACGAGTGAAGATGACGTCTGTGCATGACCGGTTGATCTTTGGTTGGGGACGCAGGACGAACAAAATGATTAATACAACAAAAAGTTTTCGAAATTCTAGTCATTTTTGTCCTTAAACTAAAACCCTGCATCCAAGTCATCAGAGAAAAGATGTACTTGAAACAAATAATAATAATAATAATAATAATAATAATAATAATAATAATGATAAACAATAATGCCGAGGATTAAAATAATCATTTAACACGTGTAGTGTTTTCCGCGGGAAGGCTGAAAAGTGCAAAGGGAAAATTTTGCACTTTCCAGCCGACTTACCCGTCCCACTAGCTCATTTTAACTTATTCTCCTTTGTTCAACATAACCCTTCCAAAATATTTTAGAGGATAAGGAAATTGCCTGGGAAACAAATAGCGGCGGCATATTAACGGGCAGACAGAAGTCGTCGACGTGTTCACACAATCTTTTCTTTGTTTTACAGTATATGGCCACAGATCATAGACTTGCCACATGTACAAGTCAACCTCACGAGTTTCTAAGAGAGTGAATCGAGCTTTTTGGGCCGCGAAGCGAGCTAGCGAGCGAGCGAAGAAGTGATTTTTTTAAAAGTCTAGGCCATAGATTGACGGCATTGATGGGAAACTGAACGTGACTACAAATCTATCGGTTTACCGCTCTTTGACCTCTTTTACTAACAGGGTCCTAACAGTCTTCAGATCAGAATAGATACGTTTCGTGAACGGATAACGATTGCTCTACCCTTAACAGCCTCAAACATTGTTCGAAAGATGGTGTGCCCCAGTTTGCAGAGTTAAACGGACTCGTGTGGACATCCTTATTAACTGCCTTAACTTATCAGGTCAAAAATAGCAATTTCAGTTATTTAACATAAGTCAAAAGTCCGGGATTAGAAGGTATTCTTATTTAAATTTCACCAGATTAATAGCAAGAAAGTACAAAAGAACTGAGCCCAAAACCGACCAAACAGACGAAAATTTTAAAACGCAACTCAATCACTGTAAGGTTTCTCAAGCAGTTTGAGGTCTTTGGGGTCTGTTTACCTAAGAAAAATTGCTTTATTGGCTTTAACTTTTCCGATGAAGATGGAACTGTCTTCAAATCTGGTATACGGAATGAAAAAGCACTCGTCCTTAACATTTTGTAATATGACAAACGATTCTTAATGCAGTTCAGTAAGTCACGTATAGTGTCACTTGACCATTTTATCTGAAGATCGTGAAATGATTGACGAATTGGCCCGATTTAATTCCTCACGTTTCACATGTCTGTCTATTCAGCTTTGATAAAAAGCACATAAGGTCAAACTTTCATTGTAAACTTCGGGTGCATTCATTCCAAACGTAGCAAGTAACAGTATGGTTCCCCTCAATCCAAAACGTCCTTTTTATGTAATAATGCAAATCCCCAACCAATACGTAAATTTCCTTCATATTCCTATTTCAAGAAAATGTCGTCTCGTTCCTAACGAGCCGATATATTGCTTACATTTTCTGATGATACACCTCTGACCCGTTAAAGGCCTTTGAGTCGAACAATAGAGTGAGGTGTTTGGTATCAAAAATGGGGTCCCATTTCACATTTTTTAAATATATTCTTGCACCTATAAATCAAGTAATCATATATGGAATTTTTTTCTGTACTTTTCAAGGATTAAAAGCATAATTTTTCCGATCACTTTAAAGAGCCTTAGATCTAACATGAGCCTACATATGGGGCCGGGTATCCTGCCCCTCTAATCGTGTAACGTAGATGGGTTTTCAGCCTTTCTGTCAAAAAAGTAAAAGTCGCGGAAAAAATCACTTCTTTCATGCCTTTTTTCATGCTATATTTTCATTTTGCTTTCCAACCTTTTAGACACAAAGACGTTTTTTTTATCTCCTGTTACGTGCTCCTCTTTGTCCCTTTGTCCGTCACTTGAAAGCGGGAATCATAATAACCTTTCTTGTTTTTCTGTTCAACTAGACGGAGAATCAGAAATTTCAGCTACGCCATAATGTCATCATTAAAACGCAAGAAAAGTGACTCGGACGAGCAGGTGGAAATGCGGAAGGCACAAAAACAAGCGTGAGTTCAATCTATAATTAGACAGCAACTAGAAGGAAGGGCACATGAAATAATTTTGAATTATAATAAACGCTCGAGGCAAAATGAGACGGCAGCATTTAGGGGCAAAAACATGGCCGCACAAAATATAGTTAAAAGCGTGAGCATACGTGATCCCAGAAATCCAGTGGCCCTTGCAAAAAGATGAAAGGGGTGACCAAATATCATATTTTCCTGGGCAGTGACACACAGCGTTGTAAATTGCTAATGAGGAAAGATGTTGACAATTTTTTTGACATGTTTTCTAAAAATTCTAATACCTTTGGTGGGTTCCATATAAACTGACAGAAATAAATAAAATTCAAAGATATTTTGAAGGCGGATTCATGCATTTGGAAGGTTTCATTTCCTCTCTGTTGAAACTTCACAACTGTGCCTTCAAAATCTTGGATTTTTATGGCTCGTTCGGTGTTAGATGGTTCTAAAAAAGATTTGGAAAACGTTTAAAAAAGATGTAAAAATAACTTTGTTTAGTGGCAACGGTTGGGCAAGCTTACCTTCACAATAGATGACATTTTCCCTTCCTTTTGTTGTCTTTTTTTAGGAGCGGTTCAATGACCGACAAAGAGATGATTGCAAGATCAATTGATCGCATGCATCAGGATATAGAAGAGCAGAAAGATAAACGAAAGGCCCTTAGACAGATGGAGCTATTCGTCTTAGACAACTCTCTTCGTGAGAGTACAGTGGGTCAGCTTCGAGGTCACACTATCGAGAACAAGTGGAAAATCTATGAGCAGGTAATAAATTTTATTTCATTGACGTTACCGGTAGAGTTACTGGAGTTTTCTAATTTGTTGGAAAATAGGTTGAGATATACCAATTCATTTTCTAGCATCTAACAAAAAAAATTTAAGCAACTAATAATTGGGTAAATGGAAATAGAATTTTCTCCTTTTTAGGGTTTCGCTCTCTTGTTCTTTAAAGTTATTTTGTTAACTATTACGGCAAATTGTTATAGCAATATATGAATACCTGGGAGAAAATATAATTAATAGTCATTGTAAGACTCGTGAAATCACGAAAGTTGATATTAAGTATAGTATGTTTCCTTAATGCATTATAAACCCCGTCTTCCCACTGAATACTAATCGCGCCATCTAACGTCTGCCGGCAATAACGGCAACTGAGAGTCATAAAGGTTCATATTTGACACGGGTTTGGCATACCGCTTAGCTCAGCGTAAACCTCAATATTTCAGAGTTGTAAATTACTATCACAGTCAATATTTTCTATTTGTAATCTAGATAAAAAAGGTTGGCTACAAGCACATCATTGTCGCCTCTTTCTCTCACATGACTCGCTTGGGTGACACCTTCATTCGACAGCTGCACGAAAAAGGAGAGGACTTCACCAACCTTTGGGCGTTCAGCGAGTTCCTGGAATCTGTCGGGAAAGACAAAGTGCCAGATACCGACACTATTCCAATTGGCATGCGCAAGTGTAAGGAACTAGGCATAAAGAACGTCATCATAGAAGCAGACTTGGTTTGGGCAGGTATCGACTACAAGAAGTTTAACGTACGAGACATGAATCAGCTTTTCTCTGAGAGGATGAAATGGTGCCGTGAAAACCTTTCGAAAGATTGCAGGATACTCTTCAACTTACGAGACCTTCCAGATGGTATGAAGAAGAAGCCGAAGCGGATCTTTAAGGTAGTAAGGTACCTTTCTTCCCTTCCTCCAGACGAGCGTCCATTCGGTCTGGTGACCGAAGAATCTGGCAAGTATCTTCCAGAGGAAGTTGGTGCATGGGTAGGAGCCGTACGCAAAGAGATGGACGAATGTGGGTTTAAGGATGGACACTTGCTTGTTCACGTGCACGAGCAGTGGGGAATGGCAGACAGCACCCAGTTAGAATGCCTTATTAATGGTGCAAATGGTGTTTGGGCGAGTCTCATCATAGAGGGAGCCTCCATGGGTCATGCCAGCTCAACTATCACCCTGATGAACATGATTCGCATGGGAAACAAGAAGGTAACTAAGCAGTACAACTGTGCAGCTCTTCGCAAAGCTGCACAGGAGGTGACCAGGATCACCACTGGACGTGAGGTGTATGACAGGCAAGTCGTGTATGGCGAACGAGCCCTGGATATGGTCTTCGGAATGCCAAACTTTGATCCAGACCCAAACGAGAAAGTATTTAGCTTGGCTGATTTCTTTGGCGAAGAACCTGTCATGCGAATGACAACCTTGGCCTCCACTGGAATGATTGTCACAAGGCTGACAAAACTCTTTGGAGATGATCCCCAGTTCACAACCGAGAGAGCCCAAAGAATGCTAGAAGTTATGTTGGAGGATTTGCATAAGAACAGGAAAGAGGAGTACATGAGCGCAGTTGGTCTGGCACTATTGTTTGATCGGGCTGGTGGCAGTCTCACCGAAAAAATGAGCGCAGTCATCGCGAAAGAAGAGCCAAAGAAGGTTCACGCGCAAGAGTTGATTGCTGAGATTCGTGCTATTTGGGATCAATGGGATCTGCGAGATGGTGAGAGAGATGACAAGTTAGAGTTTGATGCCTTCTACAATGGATTCATGGGGCCGTACTTTGGTTGCTACAGGTGTGATGAGACGAAGTGCGCATTGAAAGCCATCGACATGGATGAAGATGGAACAGTGGATTGGAACGAGTTCGCCTTGTACTTAAAGTGGGCCATTCGCGAGTACCCCGAGACCAGAACGGCTGAGGATCTGCTGTCCATTGCCTTCCGCAAAGGTCTGATCCCGGCCATGCAAGACGAGATATTAAAGCAGGTTTGAGGAACATTCATGCCAAGCCCATTTCATGCGTAGTCACTATGGGGCCTAGTGTATTTTATAACGTTGTTTAAAGTCTCTTTCATTAAGCATTTTCATTGTTACTTAACGCAGGAGGTTTCTTTGTAAGATGTTTCTGTTTTATTCCGTTTTCGCTTGACTTTGTATATCTTACAAAGTTGATTGAGTAGTTTAATTTCTTTTATACTGCACTTCGTTTTCATCATTAAAAGTGTTTGAGAATGCGGTCGTCTTGTTATTGAACACCTGAGTACCACGAAGTCGATAGGTACTATACTTTTAGGTTCTGAGGAATATTCATGCCATTCCAGCAGTCTAAACTATGTATGAACTTTCAGAGATTTTATTGGGAGTATAGTCTATCGCCGCCATAGGACCACCTCTTTATTACGACCCCTTTCTTCCTGGTCCAAAATATAATCCAGTCGACCATGACCATCCCATTTCGTAAGTAGGTGGAATATGATCATCTAAATCAGTGTAGTCGAGATTAGGATTGTTGTTCTGACGTTTTGACAGCCTGTGCGGTAGACATCTTTCTAGTCAAAAGGGATTTTATGTCCTCATTTGATAGTATTAAAGTGGTTATCAACTGACAAGGTACAACTCACCTGGACTCTGAAGACAGGTTGTCGAAGCTTGTCTCGCACAGTCCAAACCATTTACTACATCCCCTTATTATGGGCAACAACAACCTTTTGGAGTTGTTTTTTTGCATTTACATTTATTGCTCAATATTGTAGGTAAGGCTACAATATTTCATTGATAGTGCTTAAAAGAAATAATTACAATAATGAACAGGAAGTCTCAGAAGCCTTTCGGGGCTTATCGAGGAAACTCCCCAGCCAGCCATCTTTGCATGTGCGTAATGGACAAACTCACACTGCATTTCGGAAGTACTAAGAAAGCACCGCCCCTTCCCCTCCCTAATCCATGGTGTAGTCAACCTTTTCTTCGGTTCGGTTTTCTTCGGTTCGGTAGATGGTTGACATAAAATACTGTGTCATTTGGTCCAAGAGGTCTCTATCGAGTGGTTTAAAACTTACTCACTCATTTGTGAAAATAGATCAAAATGTTTACAAAACCGCCAACAAGAGCACCTCGATACATAGTTGTCAAATCCCTCTTTCTAGCAATCGGCTAGAGCTATCTTCATGATCTTTCATACATGCACACGTTTTTAAAAAGATTGAAACTACTTTGAGGGGAAATTTCATTTCAAAAGCACTTCATTTTCTACAGATAACGGCCGAACATCGAGACTGTCCAGTTTTCACCGTATTTCTAACCATAAAAACTTCACCCCAAAATATCTCCCTTAAACTTTACGAACAGCGAGGCGGCTATTGATGGAAAACGTTCCCCTGAACGAATTTGGAAGGACAGTTCCCAGTGCCGAGATATACAGCTGCAGGAAAGTAGGTAATGGCGTCATTTCGTTCCTATGACAACTCCGATGTCATTTTAACGCTTTAATTTTGACTCCACTGACACTAGAAATTCAATGCGTAAAGTTTATTCAGGATGCGTCAGTCAGTCATCTGATGCAGATGTATCCTAGTTAAGTTGCATCAATGTTATATTTCCAGCAAAATGCTATTGCATGTTCTAGGCTAGAACGTGTGCCACGCCAGACACGAAATACCATAAAAAAAAACACTCTGAGAAGTGGCCAAAAAATCTGTGGAAACGTATTCTTCTACAAATGCAGTGGCACGAAACCCTGGGGAAAAGCATAGAACAGTGAATACCTTGTTACATAGACCTACTCCAAAAGGGACTAATTTCAAAGAATGCAGGTCCTAAAACCTCAAAGCATAAGCAGTATACCGAAATAAAGTTATTCCAAAAATATACAGATCTGAACACGTAAGAATATAAACCATCGGAAAGGAAACTATGGAAAACGAAACGAAAGCGAACACGACGACTGAGCTGACGTAGAATGCCACAAATCCCGCGCTAAAAAAAACATAAATTGTCCTCCCACGAGCCTCAGGGCGCCTCCAAACCGTGCCGTCAGAATGTCTCACTTATTTATAGTTTATTCAATTACCTGTCATCATTAAGTAGGAGTCTGTCATTCACTGATCACCCATCTTAGAATATCAGCAAGACACTTTTCCATAGCCCGCATTGCAGCATCTTGATTAACCTGGCCATTTGATTTAATTGAAACTTAAATATAGTTGTGTATCATCAGCAAAGCAATGAACACATGGAAGGTGTTTTTCTATAACGTCAAACAACTGAGATGAATAAATGATGAATAAGAGAGGGTCTAAACAAGAACCTTGAGGGACCCCGCAATCTAGTTGGAAGCATCTAGAAAGCGTTCCACTGACAGATACCCGCTGACTTCTATTACAAAAATATGATTTCAACCAGTTTAGAACCGTCCCATGGAGTCTAACTTTGTTTTACAACCGAATAACAATGATCTCATGGTTAACAGCGTCAAACGCCACACTAAGGTCTAATAATGCAAAAAGCGTGACACCTCGTGAATTAATGGGAAGCATGATGTCATTCACAACCCTTCAACAAAGCCGTTTCCGTACTGTGACCAGCACGATATGATGACTGTAAAACTGGGTAGATGTGGCGCTGAACCATGTGTCCATGAGTTTGTTCGAATAAAGCCCTTTCTACTAATTTAGAAAAGTACTGAACATTACTGATGAGTCTGTAATTCTTATCCAGACTTTTCAAAAGTGAATCAACCCGTGCGCACTTTCATCCACCAGGAGAGTGACCAGACATTAAAGATGTGTTTATAATTTTTGTCAGGACTAGGAGCAACACATTTAGGCAGTTTTAACAAAAAAGTTACCCATCTCATTAGCCAATTGCAGCCTATCTTTGAAGGGTGAGAACAAAACTTTATTTTTCACATCACATAACATCAAAGGAGATTACATCAAAGAAGGATTTTGATTATATGTAACTTTGTTTTTAGCTGGAGAAGACGTTGCTTTTAAAGGTGGAAGTTCTTTAGGGCAGAGGGGATTAAGTTGCGATTAACTCAATTAAATGGTAGTCCATTGTCTCCCAAAGTGTGACCTTACTGTTGTTTGCAGAGGAGAATAGTATTGAAAAAAGCAAGAAAAACATATAATAGGCAATCTACTGTCTTTTCTTCTCAAGGTTTCTGCACTCGCTAACAATCTTTTTCTTTACCCCCTACCCCTGCAAAATCTGTAAACGAAAACTACCAGCTTGTGAGGAGGGCTGAATCAAAATCACTGAAACCAAGAACAAGTAGTTCGGCACATCGAAATTCCGAATTTTTTTGTTTTTACCTACAGTCTATTCTAAAAAAAACTGCAAACAAACAAACAAAACAGAGGCTGAAGCAATACGTTTCAGAAATCAAAGCTGCTGTGATGCACAGGGCAACGTTTTAGAGGCTAAAATGTTTTTTTTTTCTGTTATAATGCTGACAAGTTATAAATTACAAAAATTACAAAAAGTTCTTATTCAAGGCGCTTCATTAACGAATTATTTGTTGGTTATTTCACAGGGCCAAGTGCTTCGGAAATAGGTTAAATGTGGTGAAACATAAAAAGTCGGATGCAACCTTCTAAACCTATATTGACTTACGTTAAGAGGTTCTGACCTATTCGTACGATTGGTGAGCTCGCAGTCAGTTTCTGATTTCAACCTTATTAAATAAAATCCAAGATGGCAGCCAAAACGGCGTCCACTTTGGGTGAATCCTCAACACAACTAAAAGGCATAAAGGCCAAAATATTAACCCCATCTTGTAAAGCACTCGCTACTCGAAATGAGGGATTCATAAAAACCCTTGCACCACTGTCGGTTTGGTCAAGAGTCAAATGAATCCCTCATTTCAAGGTATAGTACCAACAATAGGTTCCGCCACTTTGTTGTGCATGAGTATCTGAATTTCCAGTTATCCAACAAAAGAACTTTCCCGCATTCCTGTCAAGAAAGGTACTTACTTGAGGCTTGGGGAGACAAAATACAGTAAATTGTTTGAAATTGTCCACCCGAGCCGCGAATTCATGTCTTTATGTTTGCTCATTAGTCACCGTTTTTGTTACCTTTTACAAGTGCAGCAAGTGTCCTTAAGCGTCAAAAAGGGCCACAAAATGACAACGCTCTCAAAACGATATACTTTTCTTTAATGGTAAGTACTGAGGAGAGGGTTTATTGACTACAAATCCACCTAAATTATAAAAGAAAATCATCCAATTTGCTTTTCCTCTTTCAAGTAACCAAACCATATTTTCGTAACTCTCAATGCTTCAAAAATTATAAGATCTTTTTTCACGATAATTTTTTTTTTGCATATTACAACGCAACCTTATAAATGCAACTGACTAGCGAACCTATCACAAGTGACATGCCTAAGAAATCCATTCGGAAAAGCGTCCATTTAAATCTCTCCGAGTATCACTCGGTGTCAAGACTGTTTAAGGACCTCATCTTGCATGGCCGGGATCAGACCCTTTCGGAAGGCGATGGACAACAGCTGTTCCGCAGTCTGGGTTTCAGGGTATTGACGAATGGCCCACTTCAGGTACAATGCGAACTCTTCCCAATCCACCGTCCCATCTTCGTCCATGTCGATGGCTTTCAAAGCGCGCTTCGTCTCATCGCACCTGTAGCAGCCAAAGTACGGTGCCAAGAACCCATTGTAGAAGGCATCAAAATCTAACTTGTCATCTCTCTGCCCATCTCGAAGGTCCCACTCATCCCACATGGTACGAATCTCAGCAATCAGGTCTTGGGCATGCGCCTTCTTAGGTTCTTCCTGGGCAATTACTTCGCTCATTTTCTTGGTGAGTTTTCCTCCCGAGCGGTCAAATAATAAAGCAAGGCCGACAGCACTCATATATTCCTCTTTTCTGTTCTGGCGCAGATCTTCCAGCATCACCTCCAACATCCTCTGGCCTCGTTCGCTTGTGAACTGACGGTCGCCGCCGAAAAGATTTCTTAGCCTGGTTACAATCATGTCAGGTGAGGCTAGGGTTGTCATTCGCATAACAGGTTCTTCACCAAAGAAATCAGCCATACTAAATTCGCTCTTGGTTGGAGGGAAATTTGGCACTCCGAACACCATATCCAGGGCTCGTTCACCATACACGACTTGCCTGTCATAGGCCTCGCGTCCAGTAGTGATCCTGGTTACCTCTTGTGCTGCTTTGCGTAAAGCCGTACAGTTGTACTGCTTAAGGACCTTTTTGTTTCCCATACGAATCATGTTCATCAGGGTGACAGTTGAGCTTGCATGACCCATGGAGGCTCCCTCTATAATTAGACTCGCCCAGATACCATTTGCACCATTGACAAGGCATTCTAACTGGGTGATGTCCGCCATTCCCCACTGCTCGTGCACGTGAACAAGAAAATGCCCATTTTCAAACCCACAGGCATCCATTTGCCTTCTAATGGTTGCTATCCAAGAACTAACCTCCTCTGGAAGATACTTGCCAGATTCTTCAGTCATTAGACCAAAGGGACGCTCTTCTTGCGGTAGCGAGGAAAGGTACCTTATCACCCTCAAGATCCGCTTTGGCTTCTTCATCATACCGTCTGGAAGATCGCGAAAGTTAATGAATATTTTACAATCTTTGGAGAGATTTTTACGGCACCATTCCATCCTCTCAGAAAATAGTTGGTTGATATCTGCTACTTTAAACTTACTGAAGTCAATCCCTGCCCAGAATAAATCCGCCTCGATGATGACGTTCTTTATTCCGAGTTCCTTACATTTCCGAAGGCCGATTGGAATAGTATTCGTATCTGGGACCCTGTCTTTGTTGACGGATTCCAGAAACTCGCTAAAGGCATAAAGATTGGTGAAGTCCTCGCCTTTTTCGTGCAGCTGTTGAATGAAGGTGTCACCCAGGCGAGTCATGTGAGAGAAGGAAGCTACAATGATGTGCTTGAAGCCAACCTCCTTTATCTGAATGTCAAAACAAGAAAGAAAATGAATCAAATTATTTCCGAATAACTAGCTCGTAAACATTCCTTAATCCCCTGGATAAAGGGAAGCAGCAACTGGCAAGCTACAAAATCCGTCTTCGTGTGAGTCTCCATTGTCTTTAATTTGTCAATTTGTCCTTTGATTTTTTTGAAACACTGTTTACAAAATGGATAAGTAAAAGACCTTTTTCAAAAGTACCATAACTCTTTGTTTCCCTCCAAAGTTTTACATAAGAATTGTTTTCAATTTATTTTGGGAGTTGCAATCGCCCCAGGAGAAATTCAAAACCATGCTTACGCAAAATTTTGGAGGACAACAAAGAGTATTAATTTATGTTATTTTTGAAAAAGGCCTCTTTGGAGTTTTGTCTAGGAAATCAATCCTCACAACTATATGTTATTTAATGTGACCCCTTGGGAATTACTGGCAGAAAGTAATCTCTTAGGTTGCAGCCAACGCGCTCTATTCAATTCCTAAGCCGGAAGTTGCTTAGAAACAAGGTAACCAAACAATGCTATAATACGTACAAAGTTGCATGCCAGCTTTGGTGATAATCCTCGCGGCCCCCTTACCTGTTCATAGATTTTCCACTTGTTCTCAATGGTATGACCTCGAAGTTGACCCACTGTGCTCTCAC